ACAAAAATGAAATCAATGATTTATAAATAAATATATATATATATACTTGAATATGTAATACATATATGAAGTTTATAATAAATGTATATTTAAATATGTAACGTAAACTTTAAATGTAGTTAATATTAATCTTTATGACTGATAGTTTCTTCCTTTCAAAGCTAAAACCTATTTCTTTTTATTTTATGCCATGTCTATGTATTTGTCTGTTAACGGGTACAGGAAAAACCTGGATTTTCAATGTGATTTGATTGTCACGACAATTAGACAAACACAGTCTGTTTGATTATGTAAATTATGTTTCATTTTTTTATCAAAAATGCAAAAAGTAAACATCCACAGTATAGGGTGAAAAAACTGTCACAGAGCCCATTCTTTCTGTCATGTAATGATTTTTTCTATATCTGTCTTTCTGTCTTGTAGCTTGCCCTAACTGCAGGTTCCAGTATGCCCTGGCCAGGGGTGGATGTATGCACTTCAGTTGTTCCCAGTGCAGGTATCAGTTCTGCAGTGGATGCAACAACCCCTTCCACACAGTGAGTTCCTGTCTTGTCTTGTTGTCTTCAGATTGTTTGTGCCTATTTGTAGCTCTATGTGCATGTTATACGGCGCTGTACGTGACTGTGATATTCAGTTTGAATCCAGCTACAGCTGGGCTAAAAGTAGAAGCCTTCTCGGGAGCACTGTTTCCTCCCCCCTTTTCATTCATCCTCTTTCCCTCACACTCTTGCTCACTCCTTCTCTGGCAGACGTGTGCAGTGAACCAGTGTACTGTGACAGGTCTGCATGCCCATCACCCCAGAGACTGCCTCTTCTACCTCCGAGACTGGGAGCCCGCCAGGCTTCAGGCCTTACTGCAGGTACACACACACACACATACACACTCTCGCTTTAACACAGGCACACACATTTCCTCCTACACATTCACACGCACAGCACTCGTGTGCCAGGTTTGGTGGTGAAATATCACTTCTTATCTCCACTGATTTATTTCGGATACTTGTTTGAACGTCATTTTGTTTCCTCAGAAAAAGGGGGTGAACTACAATACTGACACTGCACCAGGAGCACAGACTGGTACGTCTTTATTCGTAAGATTTGTAAGGTTTGTTCTAAAAGCGTGTTCACAAAAAGAAAGATAACTATATTAACGTCCACACCAGCGCACGATAATGTTCTGTTTTTGTGATGTTATGTTGTCTATTGGCTGTTAATGTTTGCATCATTCCTCAGCTGGAAAAAAATTTCTGAAAGTGATTCCACTGATATTGTTCCTTTGTGTCATTATCGTTATAGCTGTGGTGTGGACTTCGCTATTCTCATAGAATTAGAATGATTATTAAACCTTTATAGCTATCGTTACTTATCGTCCTTGGTGTGAGCGAGCCTTAACTGTATGGCCTGATTTCAGTCTGTCTTATCTACCCCAGAACTTCTCTAATTTGTTTATCTGTGTCTGTCTTTTCATCTAATTTGTCCGTCTCGGTCTTAAAGTCTAGTTTGCTTCCAGTTTGACTCTTTATCTCAATTGCCCAGTAGAGCAAAATTGCTTTTACTGTAATGAAAGCCTAAAAGCTGGACATCATAAAGCAAAGCACTGTTTTCTGACTAAACAGCCGTCCAATTACCGCTTCTCAAGCCGAGGCTATATTTGTACCATGAAATCGTAGTCAAACACACACATACACCTACTTCTTACAGCTTTATTTCACGCTCTCTTCCACTTCTCTGTCCTGAAAATATCTTTTTCGAAAACTCTACCTTTCCCCCAAATGCATCCTTGCTGTGGTGTTTTTGCGTCAGGTGTGTGTGGAGTGATCGAGCAGAAAGATGAAGGGCCTCGTCCAACTGATTCGCCGTGTGGGGCTCAGACTCAGCCAGCCCAGGCAGGACTCTGCGAGTGAGTGACGACATTGTTACCATGTTGACTGCTCCTTGTACACTCCTAAAAATAAAGGTTCTTTATTGGCATCTGTGGTTCCATGAAGAAC